CTGCGCCGGAAGGAGCTTAAACACGACACATGCAGGAGGTCGAGACTGGTGGGCGTATAGGCGAGGCGAAGTGGAGAATGGGATGCGATTTGGAGCTCAGCTACTGCATGTTGAAACCCTACATAATTTTTACCAAAACGACATCGTTTTACGCCTTTGGCCGGCATCTCCCATGCCGGTTGAACCACCGGAATTCCCGATTTTGACCGGTATTGACTGGAGGGTTGTGCCGATAGTATTCCAGCCTGTTTCATGACCAATACCGGTTGGACCTGGTTCAACCGGCCGGCATACTAGCGGCATGTAGGGGTGTACATGGGTCGGGTGGTTCGGGTTTAGTCATTTTAATCACCTGACCTATGCACTACGGTTTGGGAAATATCAAACCCAAACCCACCCAAAAAAATTTAAACCCTACGGTTTGTTTCTAATTGGGTTGGGTCGGGTTGGCGATATTTTTAAGTAAAAACCCAACCGAACATAAAATATATAATTATTCTATATCATAAAAATATTTTATAACTAATTAAAATTTCAAACGAATGAACCAAGGTGAAAGGTATCAAAATTCACAAATGTTGTTTGAATTTTAATAAAATGTGATCTACTTCAACATATGTCTTGTTTTTTTCACAATATTTGTTGAAATAGGCTAAAAATGTTATAAACAAACGCACCCATAATATGTTATTCTATTAAAATTGTACACAAGAAAAAAGGATTACGTGAATCATAACTATATTCAATTTATGTCTAAACTTTAAGTCGAAGAATGCATTAGATTAGGGAGACCATGAGAGAAAAACATGCCGAAATATCTTAATTTTCTCATAAGTATATGACTATATACGACATAAATATTTTGTAGATTCGAATTCATACTAATAGTTGGAACACGGGTTGGGTCGGGTTCTACGGGTTGTGTAATCCAAAATCCAAACCCAACCCAAAGGAGGCGGGTTGTACAAAAGAAAACCCTCACCCAACCCAAAACTTTCGTTTTAGCGATAAATACGGGTGGGTTGGGTCGGGTTGGATGGGTGAGTCAGTTTGCGGGTGTGTTTGTTCACCCCTAGTGGCATGACAACCATGGTGGCGACTGACGACGCAATTATTGCCAATGGCCGTTTGCACTGTAATAAATTTGGCTCAGACAATGTTTTACCGTTTAACCACTGATCAACAGTATAATTTATAGCTGAAAAGTAAAACTGCCACCCCCATTCAAATTTTCCTGTCCATAGAGTGATTTTAGGAAGCTGATGTGGCAGGGTGTTGAGCGGGAAAAAAATATAACTCCCCACCAGATTGCAGAACTAAGAATCGTCCACTACCCACCTTTTTCTCCTGGTTTCCCACGTTATCATTTAGTTATTATTTATTTTTCATTTAATTTTCGTTTGGCTGAAATACCACCTTTTCTACTGGGTTCCCACGTTATTCTTTCGCCTACCCGCAGGACAGGAGGAGAATCAGTTTCCATCAGAAAATTCTGGTAAGAGGGCGTCACGGTTTTGTGTTCAGCGAAGGAAGGCGCTGACGGCCGGCTGTTGCTGAGTTCATGGGAAGACGACCAGACGTTTTGGTGGTCAGTGGCAGAAAGCAGTGACGGCCCGCTTCTGCTGCGACTGAGGAGATCGCGTTTGGGAGTGCAGCAAACGATCTCCGTGGCGAAGAGGTTGTCGACGATCGAGGCTTTCCCTTCCGGCGAGAAGCACAACTACTGCCGCCGCCGCCACCGTTTCCCCCGCCGCCACGAACCCTGCTTCTTCTTTCTTCTCTGCTTCAGCCTCTAGAAGGTCGCTACAAATCGCTCCAGCTACTCGCATCCATTGAGGAGCCATCGCCGCTGGGCTCGACGCAGCTGCTGCGGCCACCGCCGCCATCAGCGAAGCGCTCATCATCCCCTTCTTTTCCCACCCGCTGCCGTTTTTTCCGTTTCCTTCCGCCGAGCACTTCACCACTCTCCCTCTCTTCGCCATCTGCATATCACCCAATCGATTCAATTTCTTGGTTCCCCCAAGCTGAATTGATAAAAGCCAGAGTACTCACCGAGAACTGGGGCGGAGGAAACCCCTAGAGAGGGGTTGCGACGGAGAGATGCATGGATGAAGGAAGAAGCTGTGGTTTTGGTGGAGATGGACGCCATTTTTCACACTCTGACCCTGGGAAGGAAGGAAGGAAGGAAGGAAGGAAGGAAGGGATTAGGACGGTAGCTGGTTCTGTGAGAAACTACTGGAAGTAGTGAGCTTTGCAGAGGTGATATAATTTGCACAACTTAATATTGACCATAGAATTTGCCCCCATCACAAAGTTCCATGCTAAGTTACTCTCCTTATTGGATCTTTTAGTTGTGTATAATTCTTGGTTTCGTGATATGGTATTGGAGATATGAGCAGGTGAGGTTTGGAACGGACCAGAGCATTAGCAGCAGTTGGTTGTGAGATGGTATGTGTAAAATTGAATCATGGTAATTACTTGGCTCTACTCATATAGGCAGGCTATATTTGAACCTCAAGGGAAGAATTCTCTTGCCACTTTTTAAGCTTTTTGTTTAGGTTTCCAACGTCAATGTGTGCCTGCTTTATGTCAACATAATCAAGCTTAATTGAAAGCAATACTTCCCACTTTGTTCACTCAATTTTTCTGTGTTTCACGGCTTTCTTATCTAACTTTTTTGTTTCTAAATTGCCTCTATTTTGGATATAACTTGCAGTTTAGGCTATGTAATCGACAACTAATGATTTAATCCATGACCTTCGGAAGAACGGTTTGAGTTTACATTTTCCTTATGTCATTAGTTCTTATAAGTAATTTGTTGAGTTCTTATGCTAATGTACGGTCTCTTTTTTCTTTTTTTCCTTTAGTAGTTTGGTCCAAGAAATCATGTGATCATTAATTTTTTCTTTAAGATCACTAGGTTCATCGATTTAGTTTGCCAATCAAGCATTTAACCTTCATTTAGTTCCTAATTGAGATCGTAAGATCATTTGTATAATAATAGTACATGCCTCCGATACTGTGTTAAGATGGAACTGAAATGAGTTGGATGTAATGTCTTTGTTTGGTCCACTTTTATTCAGTGTTCAAGAAGACGCGATTAATCTCTCGCCTAGGCGTGATTAATAGCTGGGCAGGAGGAAATCGCCCAGTCTAGCTCTGGGCGATTGATCTAGGCACCTGGGCACTCGGAGACGCGTTTTCACTTTGGTGGTCGACGCCCAGAACAACTAATAAAGGGAAAATTGTAGCCTTTTTGTGAAAATCCCAAACCCTATTCTATTTCCCCTTTCCACCCGCTCTGTAGCCTCCTCGAGAACCTGCCCAATCCTCCTGGAAGATTGATCAATCTGCACTCGCATTTGCCGGATTTGGTAGGCTAACTGGGTTGCCGGCGCCAATAGTCTCTCGAAGGCCCAGAGGTTTCTATTTTTCCATAGTTGCCAACAGAAAGTAGCGAAGAGGGATGTGTCTATCGGTCTATGGTATTAATAGTCATCTTTATCTCTATGCTTTTCATTTTATTTGTTGCTTCTAATTATAATGATCAACAGATAAGTCAATAAAATATGTGATCGCGTTGACCTATGAATCAATTTGGAATTGTGCAAGTTGTTGAAAATAAACACTATTTCAAGAGACATTGTTTTATGCAGGTATAACAAAAGCAAAGTCGATCATTTGCCTGGAGGGAGGGAAACATCTTTGGGAATCTTCTTGAAATTCCCCGACTTTTATTGTTGATCATCTGACCTTCCAAAAATAGCGATGAGCATAATGTAATTGTCCATTTTTTTGCAAGAGGATAATAGATTACCAACTAATTCACTAATAATTCTTGAGCTTTACGGATGGTATTCTTTTTAATTAATTTTCTTTATTATAGTTATTTATTGTTGTAAATTTTTACTTCATAATGTTAGTATACGTGTAACTATAAGCATAATTGTTGAAAGCGTACTAATATTTGTGGATACTCGAAACCTAATATGCTATGAAATAGGTGGCAGACACAAGGACTGTCGTAAATTTAGCATATGTTATACTATCGAGCTAAAAGCCGAGCACAAAGCTAAGAACAAATTTATGGGCACACAAATTTTTGACAAAAAAGTTTTTATTTGTTGGTGGTACATATTTGTTATAAATTTTTAGAATCTTTCAAATGACATAGTAGACAAATCTATAAGTGTTGACTTTTAGATATCAAAGGAAACACCAAAATCAATTATAAAAAATCCATATTGATTTCCGAAAATCATGAATCTTTTTCAGAAACTTAATTTTCACAACAAATGATTGTATGTTTGAACTATAGAGTGCCTTATTTAATTAAAATTTTGAAGAAATAATTGGAATATTTCAGATATGTCCATTATAATACAATTGTACTATCCGTATACATTAATGTTAGCTATTAACAACCACAACTGCTTTTGGAGATATATATTATTTAAAAGTGAATTATTAGTTAATAATTTTGTATTTTCTCAATTAGTACCTAATGGTTGTCGACCATAAAATTTGAATCCTTTATTTGATAAATTTTTATCCCTCCAAATTACTAACATTAATACTTCAATGCTTAATTATTTTATTTTCATGGATATAATAGAAAAATAAGTGAATAATATCAAATTTTATGAAGAAATATTTTTTAAGTAATTTATTCTAACAATAGGAAGTGATTTTTTTCTTAGATGTAAAAAATATATAGACAACAGTAAGCGATAGCATGATCAATACAAATACTTATAAACTAACTAATGTTACAATCAATAATGCGCACAAATATTAGTTTCAACCCACTAATAAATTATTTAGACGATCCCAAATTATTTGAAAATAATAAAAAATAGATTAATATAAAAATATAATAAATAAAACTAAATTCATCCGACCAACGGGTCGGGTAAAAAGCTAGTACATTACATATTTTTAACCCTTGGGTCCGGGCATTGTACTACCATCTCATTGTCATTCCTAACGTTTGATGTGATCGTCTGCCGATTCCACGTTGGTCGCGATTGGGAAAATAAGAGGACGGACGGGGCCGAGGACGGAGGAGGTACCCAATTTCATCGATCTTGTCCATTATTCGTCGCCGTCTCCGGTTATTGCTCCCGCCGCCAGTTCTTCCTGGCCGCCTGTCATCGTTTATCACCACCGCTACTTGTTCAATTCCCAATGCCATTGGCATCACTCCTCTCGCAATTGAATCTAAGGGAAATCGAACTTCCCCTGAGAGAGAAGTGAACCAGAACCGCAATTTCAGGTAGAGCGAGAGGGAGAGCCCCAGTCGCCGCCGCCCGTCTCCGCTTCCGTTTGTACGCTGAGCCCTCAGTCGCCGCTTCTGTCTCTGTTGCTGTATAATCACTTTTAGGTATATGGCTCCGCTTTTATTCCAAACGAGCTAGCCCATAGCTGTAGTTGTCGCATCTGTGATTATACCCCGTGGTTAATGGTTCAACAATTAACGGTAAGATAGGTGCGAAATGATTTGGAAGCAGAGAAGCTCTTTCATTGAGTCTAGAAATTCCTGTAGGGTGAATAGGTGATTATCGTCTTGGTATTGGGGGACCATTTCGTCATTGCCGTCTATCAAGGGACTGCAGCAAGCCAGTAACTCTTGGTTTTAGCTAGAGACATGCTTAGCTGTTCTTTGATTTGATTTTCACTTGCTCGTTTCTGTAGCTGAGCAGAATATATTGCACACTGCGTTGAATAGAATATGTAAAGGGTTTCGGGTTCGGTTCTGCTTGTATTGACCTTGAATAAGTGCTTGTCAGGTAGCTTGGTCTTGCTTCAGCTGGTGAAATGTTGCAATGGTGAGCTGTGATTGTCCCAAGTATGTTTGGCCTATACTGACAAGTGAAGAGTCTTGACTTCTTAGCAAGATGCTTTAATTTACATATCGACAGCAGTGTGCGAGCATATATGGTTTTCTTTTTCTTCCTTTCTGCGTGATGTCAGAATGACGTTCTTAACTGAGTATTTCTGAAAGGATGTCTGGAATGATTATAAAAAAAGAATGTCTGGAATGATGGTTTTGATTTCTGTCTTCAGGTTCATCTGTAGGAAGACTTGGGAGATCGTTAGTTGGAATGGCAACTAGACGTCATGTTCATTATAGTCCTCTTGCTACCGATGAAGATGATGAGTATAATGGTATGAGACATGACCGTCGGTTTGATTATACTCCTGGGGCTTTTGATAGAATACCATGGAAGTCTATCGTGCTTGCAATTTTCTTGCTCTTTATTGGATCACTTCTTCTTTTTCTCTCTTTCTTCATTTTGACTGGCCACATGGGAGGAGAGAAGTCACAAGCGTATGGCCTCTTAGCCCTGGGAATCCTTACCTTCTTACCAGGTATGATCAACTATCTGTACTGACAACCGAGAATATGTTTATGCTGTCACCCTTAGTGCTAGGGTTGCAAAATATTTACTGTTGTCCAGGAAGTAGTATTTCTTAACCAATTTCAATGAACTACTGCAAAAAGATCGAAGTCAGGAGGTTTCTTTTCATTCTTTTCCCCTAATATGTTTTGCACTTTAGTTTTCATTTATTTCACTTTTAAGTTGAATGGTGAGAGCCTGCATTGTCTATATAATATACCAACACAAAATAGTAGTTACTAGAACTGAATATCTGCCTACGTTGAAGATGCTGATGATGCATCACAATTGTGGATTGTTTAGGTCGCCTTTGCTCTTTAAAGTGGGACACAAATCAATACAAACTTACGTTGGTTTAACACATCTTCGGTGATTATTCTTAAGCACATTCATAATGGAAATGTTGTTCGAATTTTGATGACAATCCACCTTGGTAACTGCTTATCTGTTTTCTGTATTTTCCTTCTCGTCATTCTTTCTATTGGCTGCTAATGCAATTTGATCCCCAAAGTTCTTAAGTTTTTATTCCTTTGTATGGACCACAGGGTCGAAGTCAGACTGTATACATGCTTCATTTTATCTATTGGTAGTAATAGCTACAGTTATGAAGAATTAAACACATCAACTACTACTAGGTTTCTTTAATGGTCTTGAGCACTTCACCTTGTTTGCTGTTCTGTTTTCCTGTCACTGTCGAGACTAGCTAATTTACCTTTGAAGTTGGTTTCATAAGTATTGTTTTAATTTCCAGTAATGGTTCTCTTAACATTTGATGATCTAATGAATGGAATTCTACTCGGATGAGTTAAACTCAAGTCAAAGTCCCATGCAGTGACGGACGCAGAGCTTTTATTTAGCGGAGCGAAAGTTGCAACTGGAATTTACTGTTAACCTCAACAAGAATTTACTGTTAACCTCAACTAGAATTTCCTCCTTAAGCGAAGTGCAGCTGTGTTAGATTCAAAACATTCTATGATTGAGAGTTCTTTTGTACCTTCCGGCCAAATCTTTGCTTTTGGACTCTGTTTGACTCTTAATCTCTTGCCTTATTCACTGAACTTTTATGCTTACAATCCCTTGTGGTTTTGAACTTCTGCTTATTGTCGTAGGTTTTTATGAAACTCGGATAGCATATTACTCGTGGCGTGGTGCTAATGGCTATCGATTTGCCGCCATACCGGATTATTAGTCTATTCCTGCATCTGCCGTACTTCTGGAGGGATACGTCGCTGGCCGTGTTGTCAACTATATTATCTTGTATAGAATCTGGCTTTGCACTTATAGATCTGGGCATTCATTTTCAGCATGGAAGTGTTTGTATTTCTTGTGTTGTAAGGTCGATAATTTGGCAAGAGTTCCGGTCTCTTTTTAGGAAAAGATTTTGCCTTATACATTGTCACAATTGTTTAATATTATATTAAAATTTGTTAGAGTGTGATGCATCATTAACACATTGCTGGAAGCTAGTCTCCGTTTTCAAACTTCTAGAAGTTTCCAGTAATGAATAACTAAATCTGGATCTTTGAATTTTTTTTTGGTGGAATTGGATCTTTGAATTTAATTGGGCCTAAAAAATTCCGATATAACTTATAAGGGTTGTGAATTAAAAACCTTTTATTTTTTTCTAGTTTTCTTAATTGACTCTTATCTTCTTCATTCTAACTCGGATTTCAAATTTTTTTGCACATATGGAACGAGTTCGTTGTGCTCTACAAAATGAGATCAATTTTCAATATTTTTTGAGATTTATTTTTCATACTTCTCGTTACAAACACTATATCATATGATATCTCTTTTGTTTTTAAGTCGTTTTTGAAAATATTTGCACAGAATGATCTATTGGATCTACAAATTTCTGGGTAAAAAAAAAATACAGGATCAAAAAATACAATACTATACCACCCTGGATGAGAGATGGTAACTTGTGGTACACAATGATAAAAGTCATAAATGACAGATAGTATACTCCCACTATCATGTATTCAACCATCCTACAGTCTTGGTATGTTCATACCGCGATGATACGCTTTCATAACATATGGTATACTCTTATTTAATACCAGTCAATACCATATGTTATAAACTTGTAAAAAATGCCTCAACTTGTAAAAAAAATTGTATACTCCCACTATCATGTATTCAACCATCCTACAGTCTTGGTATGTTCATACCGCGATGATACGCTTTCATAACATATGATACACTCTTATTTAATACCAGTCAATACCATATGTTATAAACTTGTAAAAAATGCCTCAATTTTTTTTGTTCTAAAATATATCAAAGTGAATATCATTTTGAAAAATACGATAAATTTGATTTATCTGTGTAAAAAAAAAATTAAATTCCGACTTTAAACGAGAGAAAAATCGTCCATTAACATTAAAAGGGGAAAAGGCTAATAGACTTTCCACAAGAGAGAGGATGTTGATGTCACATTGATATGGACAGGTTACTCACAGTTACTGACTCTAAAGTTACTGAAATGATCCGGACCCGGAAGAGAGCGTTTAGAAAGTTTTTATGATTTAATATTTGGTTTTTCATGCTGGTTTGGTTAACCAAACCAAACTGACAACCCTAAAGATGGTGATTGTGGTGGTCAAGAGATTTATGTAAAATATATTAGTGTGGGAGTCCTCATCACTTCATTTCATTGGTCTAGTTGCCTGCAACAAGGGTAGCATTGATGATAAGGGGGGTCGTAGCATCTTCAAGAAGTGTGACGTCCGTTTGAAGATTCATCAACCACTAGTCTATCCATCTATAAAATATACTAGCGTGGGTCCCGGCCAGTTGGCCGGAGGAAGATGAGGTATGAAATTTGAGAATGTAATAGGTTGTCTAACTTATTGTTGTATAGTGTTTTTTTGAAACACGTGATAAAGATAGTAAATTTTAGCAGGAAAGAGACATGGATGATGCAAACGAATAAAAAATCAGCCTTATGAACCAAAATCAAGTGCCAGCAGAATGTGCTTTCAGAAGGTAAAATTATGAGGAAATTTTCAGTGCAGATGGTTTGGGAATCGATTCGAGTTCGCAAGCCTATAGACCCCTGGTGGCTGGCAGCTTATTTGGGTATTCACTTTTCCCAGGAACAGGGTCATTGTGCGGCTAATTATCCTCAATCGAATTGTAAAGCGGGATAAGCTCAAAGCTTGGGGGAAAATCACCGATGCTGTGTGTGTATGCGTGCAAAAGAGGATGAAAGTAGATACCATCTATTTTGTGAATGTGATTTTTTTGGCAATCTATTTGCAGTAGTATTTGGGAGTCTATTCCATAGCTGGAAAACAGATTGGGAGCAGCTGTTGCAGGAACTATGTATGAAGGTGAAAAAGGAAAAAGAAGGGCCTGTTATTGGTGCTATATGGTGCTGGATTTGTAGCTTGGTTTGGAAGGAACCCTGTAGGCGGGTATTTGGAGAACAAGCAAGAACATGGGAAGTGATTCTCTCCCAACTACAAGAGCAAATTAAGCTGCTGGCGCTTGGTAATGACCGATTTTGTATAGCTTTGCAGCAAAGTAGTTTTGTTAGGAACTTGCAATTACACATTTGAGCTTTGCTAGTTTCTTTGTAAGATGTAAATCTCAGTTTTTATGCGACTTGGTCAGTGGATCAAGTGAGCTTAATGAAAAGCCTAATTACCGGAGAAAAAAAAATATTATTTTTGGTAATATAATGAGGTGGAGTAAGTTTTATAGAAACCGAATTCCAGAAACCCGAATAAAAAATCGTCTATCCCGCCGGTCTTCGGGAAATGAGCATCCCACAATCATTACTAGCTTTTACTCGGCCGTTGGCCGATTAATTTGATTTATAAAACTTTCATCTTGTCGTCATTGTGCTTTCTGGTTTTTGCCAGGCCATGATAAAATCTAAAGAAAACAATAACGAACAACACGATATGGGATAGGAACATTCGTTCCTGTATCTCTAGAAAATGGTGGTAAACACAGACTCAGCTGCCGAACTGGTTTGGATTGAGATTTTTATCGGATATCAGGGAACCATGTGATTATAAATTAGACTTGATCAAAATGAGCCAAAACTTGAAACTGAGCCTGTTTGACCGACACATGCCAAAATCTAATTATTTACTCTACCCGCAATTCCTGCTTGGTTCACCCTTATGAAGATAAGCCTTAGCAAGGCCTCCCATGTGTTCGGCCAGCTAGAAACCATCCTGCCAAAAATTGTAGAAATCACATGTAGGTAGAAAGACAAAATCAAAACAAGTGTGTTTTAGTATTTTATGCCCCTTGACAAAAAGACACAAGAGGCCTCAGTGATTTTCCCTCGCTCTTCGAGCTTATCTCTAGTTGTAATTCTATTGAAGATTATCAACCAAGAGATCACTATTTATTTAGGTATAGTATGCTGGCTTTACATCAATTGCGACTATTCGACCTTAGGTCTCCACACCCTAATAGAATGCCATATTGCTGCATAGAGAACTTAGTTATGAGCTTCCCTTCCCAGGTCACTCTTCCTTTACCATCAACATTCATTCAAAATTGTAACTGACTCGCCACGAATACTTCGCGATTTACATCCTGACTAGAGTTCAGGTATAAACTCTAGCCGGATGCAGTATATGGCAAGTAAGTTTTAATTGTCAAACCCGGGCCGGTCCATGTGCCCCTACTTCAATCGCTTAGGTTGTTATCTAGCAAATGGTTTTGAGTTTAAAACTAAAAAAGCTACAAAATAAACATAGAAGTAAAGTAAATCGAGGTTGTCCCGATAAGAGAATTCACCCAGGTATTGCTATCCCTAGCAACATATTAGGATCGACCAAATCGAATTCAAATGTGTGGAGGTGTGTTCATACACCGTAGGAGGGCACAACAAGTGAAGGAAACCTCACTCCTTTAATATATCGATTAGGAAAAATAATTAAGCCAGGAACCTTAGCTCTCTCAATCAATGGATTATGGATTGCTACAATAAACTAGGAAGTCTAGCTCTCTTAACCTTTCGGCTAAGGATTGCAACAATAAGCTAGGAGTCCTAGCTCTCTTAACCGATAAAACTAAAGGTTGCAAGAACCAATCCCTTGAAACTTAATCTGGAAGGAAAAGTAACACCCAACTTAAAGTGCTAAATCGAAGTTTGAGGTTTGCCCTAATTTCCCCTAGGTAGGTGACTCAATTGGCCAAGGAATCTAGCTTATAAAAGCCTCCTAACAAAAATGGGAATTCCCTCTACTTAGGTCAAATTGGCATAGTAATGAGAAATGAAGAACACAACCCAAACATCATGAAAATACCTCAAACTTTGCATTAAACGCAAACCCACACACAAAGCATTCCATTAATACAATCTATCACATATTTCAAGCTAGGGTTCATAACACCCAAGTGAATAGGTAGGCTATTCCATAGCTAGGCAAAGGAAAAGAAGAAAAAGGAGAGAAAGAGCCATGAAGAGATGACAATCTTCATTCTTCCTTACTTGAATCTCCCTTTGGAGTTAAGAATCTTTACTCCTCTAGCTTAGGGCAAGCCCAATCTCCATCTTCCTCCTTTGAATGACACTTTGATTTGGGCCTAATTGTACATATTTTACCGCCATTTTCCTTAGGAGTTTGTGACAATTGTGCTCCTAAAAGGGTGGTTTTATGCGAGGTTTCTTGTGTTTTAGCATGTTTCAGGATTTAACAAGTGAAACCAGCCTCGGAGTCGAAAGTTGGATGAAAAGGAGCGAAAACCGGGAGAAGAGGTGAAAAACCGGCAGTTCATGGTTTCTCTTGGATGTTCACGGTCTGCCAAGACCGTGAAGAGGAGTTGTTCCCTGTGAACACCCATGCGTCCAGGGCCAAATCTTAGGTTACTGACGCAAGGTGAGTTCACGGTCACTAAGACCGTGAACTGGAGCTGTGCCCGTGAACCCGTGCAAGCGAAGCGGTGCGATTCGATGCCAACCTTGAGTTCACGGACACGTTCAAGAGTTCACTGTAGTGAACTGAGACCGTGAACTGAGCCCGATCCCTGTTTAAAAGGAGAGATGAAAGGAAGAGAGAGGGGAGAGCCCAAGACTGAGAAAGTGCCTTCTTCAGATTTTAGAGAGAGAAAGAACGAACCAAGGAAGGAAGAAGGCTAGGGTTTGCTCCAAGTGGTGAATTGGGAAGATTCTTCCCAAGAGAAGTTCAACACAAGTTCAGAGAAGATTGGAAGCATCTCCATGATGGTTTCTACCTCTTCCTCTTGTGTTTCTCCCCTTTCTAGCATGGAGTAGTTTCCTTTTTCAGTTGGGTGTTGTGAAACCCTAACTATCTACCATGTAGATTTTGTTATGTGAATTGAATGATTGTTTATGGTGTTATTTAATTCAATGATTGAGGTATTTTCATGTTGATTGTGCATGTTTGTGCTTAGCAATCTAATTGGCCATTTTAACCTAGATTAGAGAGGGAAGACCCCCTTTCAAGGGAGGCTCAATCGAATTGGGATTCCTAGGGCTTTCTACGCCACCTATCTAGGTTAATGTAGGGCAAACCTCTA